ATCTCGCCAGAGGGCACGTCTTCGACATTGAGCTGGTGTTGGCGGGTCCAGCGCGGAGGCACACGCACAATCTCCACCTGATCTCCGTCAACCGCAGCACTCTCCACTTGGTCATGATGAGTGGCAATGCGAATGTCGGGCAAGGTTTGGGGTAGCTTCGCCCAGGCTGCTCGCGAAGCGACAGAGCCGACGTTCATGTCTATAGGAGAGCGGAAAGGCATGTCAAGTCATATAGGCGTGGAAACAACGAACAATGCATCGTGCAGGGATTGATTAAGCACGTGAATCGAAAAAAAAAAAAAAAAGGTCAAGTTGGTGACAGCGCTAGTTTGAGCACCAGGCGGACCAGCAAACGGGGTGAAGCCTTGGCCATTGCGAGACGCACCGGGCAAGTATACGAAAATCTCAGCCTCGCAAAGGAAGTAGCCCGGTTTGGTTGGGATGGGTTTCATGCGCACAACCGGAATCTTGATCCCAGGGAGGAGCGGGAGGTCCTGAAAATCAAAAGGGGATGGGCACCATCCCCTCAATGTGATAGGAGACACGGCGTCTCCTTGGTAGGAGAGGAGCTCAGCCAATCCGTGCCAGGAGTGGAAAACGTCCAAGATGCCAAGACGGCGGGACGGCTGCCATTCGCCCCACCGGAACTCGGGGTGAATCGGCTCGACCGGGGAGCTGCGCCACTCCAGTTCAAATCTGAGTGGACCAAGACGGGCAGATGAGGGCGCAGAGCAAATTAAGAGGAGGGCGCGTGGCCCGTGCGCGAGGTTCCAGAGAGCAAGTAAACGGACGTACTTGGTGACGCCAAGTCGCAAGGGCTGATGGCTCCGCACAAATTGGTCAAGGACCGGCTGAGCCTCAAAGATACATCGCTTGATCGACTCTAACTCATCGCTGACCCATCGCGCTTTGTGGCTAGCAAGCGCTGCCTCCGAGAGGCGCGGTTGGAAAGAATCAATCGAAAGAAGGCCCGACGCGGAGTAAGGAAACAGTTCGTCCAGGTAGCTGTCACGGTCGCTCTCGCTATCGTCGTATTCATCGTACAAATCGAAGAAGCCGCTGTTCACCATGGCGTTGCGACGCCGAGCCATGATGAAGCGTGGGTCGACGCAGGTCTCTCAGGTGCACAACATACAACTTGGAGGCCAAGCCTGTGTCCTCAGCTAACCAGGTGTGCTAGCGCTGCCCTCGAGGGTGCCCACCAGCGACCATCAAACGTGCCGAGATGCCCTGTCTCGTCGAGCACGGCAGTGGCTTGCTTGCAGTCGCTTTCCAACGTTCAAAAAGTAAAAGAAAAAGAAAAGTGCAAGCTCTCAACCCCTTTGTCTTTGCTTTGTTGTCGAAAAGCAGAAAAAAAAAAAAACAACTTAACATCACTGACACAAGTCTTGGCTGGCGTTGGTGTGTGTCCTCGGTGTGTGTGTGTACTCGGTGTGTTAGTGTGTGTGTTAGTGTGTGCTAGTGTGTGTTAGAGTGACTGAAAGGTTATTCCAAGATATGGACTCGGTCTGGGTGTGGCCAAGCCTCAAGTCGTCTCACTCATGTCCTGAGATACTTGGACTGGTGCTGTGCCAGACCTGAGATACTTGTACTGGTGTGGCACGGCGCTGTTTGCCGCTTTGTTCTCAAATGCAACGGTCATGAACGACATGCCATCTTCACCAAGGGGAAAGAGTTCAGGACGTCGAGGGCCAAAAGACGGAGAGGGGGCGGAAATACACAGAGAAAGCGCCGAAGCATTCTAGCCAAAGATGTTGTGCGTAAAGCCGCCAGGGGGTGCCAGCGCGCGCTTGTGCATCGCATTGGGTAGGTTGCCTAGGAGGCATCAAATGATGAGCTACAACATTGAAGTGCTGATGTCGACAACCTGCAAGATGTTCCATGCTCTGTCTACGCTCAAACACCAATGTGCAAGCGGGGGCAAAGACTGACTTGAGGTGGAGGGACGGCTCTCCTGGTTGTGGTCCTGGCGTTGCAGGTGGGGTACACCTACTGCAACTGTTTACGACAAAGCACAATCAAGTCACAGGTTAGCGACAAGATGCCGAGTGAGATGTGATAAACGCCAGCAAAAAATTGATGGGTACAGCCACGTACCACGCGAGCCCCGCTGGCTCTCAGCATTGGGGTCCTGTCGCTCCAGATGGTAGGGCAGGTCGACTGTGAAAGTTGATGCGAGCAAAAACAGGCCCATGAAAAGCGGTTAGATGGCCCGCAACCAGTAGATCGTATGATGGAAAAGAGCGTGCTAATGCACTGACTGGATTTGGAGGCCTGGCTCTCCGCGTTGGGGTTCTTGCGATCGAGATGGTAGGGCAGCCCGTCTATCCACGTGGAGAGCAATACAGACAGTGAAGGGCAACAAAACACAGAGGCTGGTTGGGGTGGGTGAATGCAGCGCCACGAGGCAAAGCTCAGGGCTTGACGCACGACTCGTTGCCTTTCGGCTCTCTGCATTGGGATCTTGACGCTCCAAGTGGTAGGGAAGGCTGACTGGAATGCAAAAATCAGCCGCATAGGGCCGTGGCAGTGAGCATACTCGGCTGGCCCAAGGAGAAGCAGAAGAGAAACAAACAGAAACAGACACCACGGCAAGAATAATATGCGGCAACATACTGGGGTTGGTGGCTCGGCTTTCCGCGTTGGGATCCACGTGGCCATGGAAGCGGTTTCCTAAGCAATCGAAAGAACGCCCCATCTGATATCAGGATTTTGGACTACCAAGGGAAGATAAACCAAAAGCAAGAACAAGAGCAAAAGCCCAAGCGGAAGAACGCTTTCAAAGCAACACGCTCAGGGCAAACAGAAAAGCCGTTTGAAAGCGGGGCCTGAAACAGGTCAAGATCGAACCGGGATGACGGATGCCCTGGTTAGCCATGCCTGCACTGGGCAGAGAAGCAGGGTCCAAACGCTAAGAGGCGCAGTCAAGCCATGGTTGAGAGCGAGAGAGAGAGAGAGAGAGAGAGAGAGAGAGAGAGAGAGAGAGAGAGAGAGAGAGAGAGAGAGAGAGAGAGAGAGAGAGAGAGAGAGAGAGAGAGAGAGAGAGAGAGAGAGAGAGAGAGAGAGAGAGAGAGAGAGAGAGAGAGAGAGAGAGAGAGAGAGAGAGAGAGAGAGAGAG